CGTTTTTCTCATATGCGTTATTTCGGTTTTCAAACGAAAGTGTGCATGTATGCATTATTTCGGGTTTTTCATATGCATTATTTCGGTTTTCAACCGAAACTGTGCATATATGCATTATTTCGGTTTTTTTCATATGCATTATTTCGGTTTTCAAACGAAAGAGTGCATATGCATAATTTCGGTTTTTCTAATATGCATTATTGCGGTTTTCAACCGAAACTGTGCATATATGCATTATTTCGGTTTTTTTCATATGCATTATTTCGGTTTTCAACCGAAACTGTGCATATATGCATTATTTCGGTTTTTTTCGTATGCATTATTTCGGTTTTTTTCATATGCATTATTTCGTATGCACAGTTTCCATATGCACAATTTCAGGGTGCCTCTACCAAACCATTAGAGCTTTGTTCTCGTAGATAAATAGGTGGCTTGTATTTTTTAACTACCTGTGTGTTAGAATCATTATTCATATCAGCGAGAATATCAAAACGATCTCCGCCGATGTAGATGTACCTGAAGTGACTACTTTGCGCTTTCGATTTATTAGTATGTAGCGAGCTTATCCAGTGGCATTTTTTGCTTTATTTGTTTCTTTGTTGTTTGTTCCCGTCGAAGTATTAGTAGTGGCAGCTACGTTGTTGTCCGCATTGATCACTGCTCGACAGTGTTGCCGTTGTGCGACTAAAGAGACAATTTGACCCTTTTTTAAGCGCCAATACCCTTTGACCCGACTTTTTGAAAATTTTGATTTTTTACCCTTTTCCAAAATTATGTGCGACTTTTGCCTCTTCTCAGAGATTTTTTTAGGAAATGTTAACACAGCCATGCGACTAAAAAATATTTCCTACTGTAAGTACGAAAAAATGAATCACTCAAAACTTTTAAAGGACTCCATTTCTGTGTATGTTTGCAAATCTGTTTTGTGCAAAGCTTGTCCCTTGTTTCTTTTTCAATTCAACAGCAGAACGCTATAGCAGCGAAAAGACTTTATAATACATGTAAATTTAATTCTGACTTTGGTTCCCAGATTTATTCTGTTACTAGTAAACGAAAGCAAAATTAATATGGTGACCCTTTTTTCGTCAACGACCCCCTTTTTGAAAATTCTGAACGGCAACACTGCTGCTGGAGAGCAACAAGAATGATAGATTACAAGATTGCGCCGATGAGAGATAATTTTTGAGCATAATTTTTGCGTGACGTTATCTTGGTGCAACTGCGAGAGAGAAATGCCAAAACGCATCGAAAAATATTTAAACAATGCAGAAAAATGTGTTAGTATTAATATTACATGGCCCAATTTTGAAGAAATCAATAAACATACAAAGATTGATTAATTAGGAATAATAATAATAATAATAGATTGGCGCTTACACATATGTTA